TTTCCTTTTTTTAGTTTCAGTTTAGATTTATTCATTATGTTGGTAGATGAGTAATATTTATGTTTGGCAATATGGCCATTGAAATTTCAATTACTCATTTATAATTCAATGAAAAATATTTCAGTGTTATCTATAAATCATGCTCTGATAATCAATCAAAGAAATAAAGTATATATCCGGTAAGATTTTGAAAACTTATTTGTTGTGCTAAGTTGTCATAATTTTCATTTTCCCACATTGTATTAGTTTCTATAATTTTAATGATATTCTACTTAACTTTTATGATTTTTCCATTATATAAGTTTATGATTTATTTAAGATTCATTCCAATCGAACTCTACACTATTACACTACCAAAAAAAAGCAACCCTTAAGTTAAATATGACAAAGAAAGAATTGATATCAGTTGAAAGATAAAAGGGGGAAAAGGGAATCGAAATGAAATAGTAAAGCAAAAAATAAGTGATATATTACCATTTCGTAGGTAAAGAAAGAAGAAAATACACATCTGCATCAGAATTATAGACATTACGACACAATTGATGGCTGTTGCATGGATATTTCTACTTATTTTAGATGGGCCATACACATAAAATATATTGTAGCGATCAATAAAATGTTTCAAACAAACATACACCAAACCTATAAAAACAAATATTTATCATATTTAATATTATATGAACAAACAGCTAATAATTTTTATATAACCACACAACACACAAAAAAAAAATGATGGACATGAAAGAGTTTAAAAAGATTTGTAATTGATTCAATATGATTTGTTTTATAGCTAAGCCTCTTTTATTGAATATCTTAATCAACAGAAACCTCTAAGAAACAGTTTTAGATTTATAAAATCAAATATATTATACAACCACTGCATGATTTAATGGCCAAGGTAGGAATGCCACATAATTTTGACCACCACCAGATAATGTGAAAAGTGCCAGTCATGGTACCCCTCTCTTCAAACTTCAATATCCCACAACCAACTAGAGGACTGAGAGAGAAAGAGAGATTTGTAATTGATTCAATTTGATTTGTTTTACTGTTATAACTCTCTTAATAACCATTTTCATCAATAAAAACCACTATGGCTAAATATTTATGGAATCAAATATATTACAAAACCATGGCATTATTTAACAGCCATGGTAGGAATGCCGCATAACCTTGACCCCAATAAGATGGGATGCAAAGCACCCGAGTTGGTCAATCTCACATATTTAATGTGCACTTTGAGTATACATGCCTATTGTTTTATTAGCCGCCAGGATTAAATTCATGATTTCCAGTTCTCCACCAATAGTGTAAGTGATGTCTTAAACAACTGCGCCACTGAAGCAAACATGCCTTATATTAGGTGAAACCTCTGAACAGTGATTATAAAATAACAATCACACATGGCTAGCATGAATTTTATTTTATATAGAATCTCAGCTAACTTTTTTTTAAGTTTTTCATTGGCATCTTCCTATAAATTTAATTATTTCATTATCTAAAACATAACTTTCCCTCATCGTTCATCATATTACAGTCTTCACAGAAGAAACATTTTTAAGCGTTCATACCAAAATCAATTATAGGTACAATTTGGCAGCTTAATTCTATGTGTTACAAATAATCCACATCTTACATGGATGTAAATGTAAATTTAGAAGCTTTTCATAACGCAAAGCTCCACAAAGTAGAGGTAGGTGATGAAAATATTGAAAAGAACAAGAATAATCATAATAGCTATAGAATAAAAAGGTATGTTCTAGAAAATATTTGTAACATTTAGACTTTTGCTGACATAATGATGGTAAAAAACTGAATCATCTAATAATTGATGCCATTATAAATCTGGAATTAAAAAAAATTGTTTGAAAAAAAAGTTGGTTATAACTAGATTTCTTTAAATGTTAATTTTGAGATAACAAAAATTTGAGTAACTATCACAAATTGTGTTGACTATACGTTTAAGTATTGTTTCTAGTAATTACACAAGTTTTTTGATACTGTTTGAGATATATTTAATTACATATTTTGAACAATCAATTTTGATAACTTCAGTAATTGATAACTTCAGATTCTTGTAGTACTGGTGCTAATGGTCATCTCTTAACACCAGTACTACAAGAACTGGATTGGGTTTAAGAAAAATTTAACTACATTGTTTTATAATAATGTTTTAAACATTTACAACATAGTCTAATATTGTGATTATAAAACTTTTCTAGTTTTATTTGACAATAAAAAAGAAATACTATCACTGCATTTGTGGAATTCAAAATTTATATCGGATTCATAATTTTTTTTTAAAAAGTTGGGGGGGGACAAACATTAGAAGCTTTAAATAAAATTGTATTTCAAGCAAATTACTTTCAAATGGAACCAGTCAAATTTGCCAACTAATAAGCTCTACATTTTACAGAACACAACTTCTTTTCAACGATAATTAATCCAAAAGTATCTTCTTGCAAAGCATCCAGTTAGAATGCTTCAACATCAATATTAAAATACAGTGAAACAAAAAAGAAATATAAAAAAAAAATAAATTTCTTGTGAAAATTTTTCCATTTAAAATAAAATTATTGTTTAAAGTTCTTAATTTATAAACATAAAATCAATAAAATTTAGAAACATTTTCAAAAACTTTACATAATCATGATAAAATAACTAATTTCTGAAAAATATAACAGAAAAAATTGTGCATTTTTGTAATTTAGAATGACAAACAATACAGCAAAGAAAAAATCTCTTTTTAAAAAATAGAAAATTAAGCACTTTTTACTAACCTCTAATAAAAAAGCACCTTTAAGGGCCTTTAAAAAACATAAATCAAAAATGAGCACCTTTTAAAAACGCTACTCACCCTGTTTATAAAGAAAAAGTGAACAAATATAAACAAAATTATGTCAATTAGTTAAAGAAATTTATATCACTTACCGAATGGTGTTATAAGGGGGCACAAAACACTGTAAATGATTACCACTGAAAATATCAAAAGATAATAGGCATACTGCACTCCAAACTCAAACTCCCACAATATGGCCTAATAAACAAAAAGAAAAAATAATTAATTCACAAATCTAACTTATATAGAACTATTTTCCTATGAAGTTATAATATGTGACAGTTTTATGACAGAATATATCATATTACATAATCAAAAATATTAAAATTTGAAACTTTTACAAGTAAAATTATTACTAATTAAAAATAAAAAAAGGGCAACTAGCATTCTTTTAAATGAGTTACACTAATGTTACATTTAATAAATGCAGTAATTACATAATGATCTTATATAATGATCAATTATTCTCATATTTAACTAAAAATAATGATTAAATAAGATATTTATATAAAACAATCTTAGATACAACTTTTAAAATAAACGAGAAAAAGCCAAAAGCATCTAAAATCAAAATAAATATACACTTTAATAATTAGTAATAAGATCTTTTTTCTTTTTCAAAGTTGGAAAACTTTTCAACACACATTTATTAACACTTAGACCACAGATTTTATAGTTTTTTTTGTTTCTGTTTTATTGAACAACATTATTGGACTTGAAGTTACTTAGTTTATATATCCCCTATAGTGAATGGGTGTTTTTAAGAAATAACACGAGAAAAAAAAATTATTTAATTTTTTTTCTGTACACATTTACAAAGTTTTAAAATGTCATAAAGAAAAAAATTTTAATTTAAAATTTAAATTTTAATTAAATGTTAAATTTAAGTAAGGTTAAAATTTTCTTAGTTTTTTCTTTTAATTATTTTAAAACAAATTTCAAACAAAAAATAGTTTTTCTTCACTTTATGAGACTTATTTTCTACAGTTAAGCAATTTATAAACAAATATAATAACAACTAAAGCTCAGGTTTCAGAAGGATAAAAAATAATCTAAATAGTGATTAATTTGGTTTTAGTTGTATTTGACTTGCACTCATTACATATTTAAACCAAAGTTATACATGAAAATTCATCAGAAATATTTCAAATCAACTGTTTATTATTTCCTTCTTATTTTTTATCTAGTTTGTTTGATATTTTAAGTAAGAAATAGTAAGAATATAACTTGCTTTTCGTAAACCAGCTTGTTCTGCCCGAGAACGTGAGAAACAAATGTAAAATGCATACATAAAGAGCTCAGGGAATCGAATGAGGTCCAGGGCTGTTCCAATGAAACTCGCTGTTATAACATAATTCACAAAAAAAGCTCCATTGCCAGACAAAAATACACACCTAGGAATTATAAAGTTATTCAGTGAAAGATTTATTCAGAAAAGGAATTATTCAGTGAAAGATTTTAAAATAAAAATAAATAAATTGATAAGAAAAATATTTACTGCCAACGGTATGTTTCTCCTTTCCTGATACTCCATTCCAGTAATGCTTTCACACTAAATTTGAAAATAGAACATTAATATTTAAAAGCCATAAAATATTAAAGCTACCATAATACATAAATTTATTAATTCTTAACTGTAATAAACGGGGATTCACCCAATTTTCTAAAAACTCATACTCTGTGTACCATGAAGCGCATAGCCTCGTTTTCCACTGCTCTATCTCCTAAAAACTATGGTATAAATGCAAAATAATTTTGGAACTGGGCAAGCAATCTGGGCAGCGGAAGAATAACACCTCTTCCTCGAAACTTCCACACCAAAACCAACAAGAGAACTTTCAGTTACGACAAATTTAACATGCAAATGCAAGCCCATCGTTTTATCAGCTGCCAGAATCAAACTCATGACATCCTGGTTCTCCACCAGTTGTTTGTTCAATGCCAAAACTATCTGCTCCACCTGAGCACATATCCTAATATTTAGAAGTAAGATTTTAATATTAATTACGTTATTATTGAAAATTCAAGATATATTAATACATTGGATAGTGATAACAAAATTTCCCCCAATTTTGTTTTTAATACATTTTTTAGTACCCTATCAATTATTAAATATAAAACACAAGGTATTCATATAAGAATTTCCCCAAATTTTGTTATTAAAATAATGTTTAGCTCATTGATTTGAGCAGCAAGATTTTGAAAGTAATAATTAGATTTCTATCATTGAAAATTGAAGATATAATAATACTGAGGACAATAATACATATAACAAGGCGCATAGCCAAATGTTCCAAAAAAGCACTGTTTAAGTATATTTTAAGCACTCAAAAAATATTTTTAAGCACTATATACATTAACAAAATGCAAAATAATTTTTCAAAAACTGCATGATCATGATAAAATAACTAATTTCTGACAAAGTACTCTTTTCTAGATTATATTAGACATCCAAAAAACATTGAGAGATTTTTCGGTTCGATTTCAGAGGGTGGAATAAGAAGCCTGAAACTGAGACTATTTTGCAAAATAGATTGAACATGAGAATTGCACATGAGAATGCAAGAATCTCACCAAACCCAGCTCAGTAAACGCACATGCAGACTTGCAATTATTTCATCAAACATGTAAAATGATTGGCACTTTTATTTCGGTACACTATCATTGAAGGAAAAACAATTCACAAGCTTGCCAATTTTTAAAAACAGGTAATCACCCTAAATTTACTGACAATTCAAATTTATTCAAATTTTAGCAAAATCTAGATGTAATGAGTGATCAGTCTTCAAAAATCCTTCAGAAAGAGAATTCTGCAAGAAAACTAAGAACAATAAACTGATGTATGAAAACAATTCCTAAATTAATATTTGGTTGTTCAGAATTTTATTTTTTCAATTTCATTTTTACATTTTTCTCAACAGGGGACTTAAATGTATTTTTTAAAAGCCAACTTTACACTTAATCATATGTATAATATGTATGTATTAATAAAAGCAATATATAATGACTGTATAATCATTCTATATTTTAGTAGCTGTTATAGCATGACTTGCTTGAGAAAAAGTTAATTATTAATTTATTTTAACTAGTAAATTAATTTTATGCAATAGTTAGTTGATTCCCATTCAAATATGGAGTGAAAAGCTGCATTTCCAGCACTTTTTACTTTTTTTTACTATCAAGAAATAAATAATACAATGTAAAGAAGATGCAAAATTTCAAACAACTTTAATGTTGAAACTGCAAAACTTTAATGTTGAAAATGCACTACAGAAGTGCAATTAAAGCTAATGCACATAAAAACATTGATTGCCGGAGAAAAACAATACGCAAGATTGCTGAGAGAAAAAATCTATGGAATTCAACTGTTCATTATCATTTGAAATGCCCAGGTTCAATCCCACATAGATTCTTCTTATATAAGAAATTTGTGTTATCGTGTTGACGTGATTTGATTCTCAAACATCAAGAAAATAATATATTTTTTAAGTACATTGCATTACCATTGGAGACAAGAAATGGATTGCTTACACCAATGTTAAATGCAAGAGATCAAGGAGCATAAAAAGATTAACCGACTCAAAGCCATCAGAAAAGGCAATGTTTTTTGTTTGGCGGAATTTCAAAAGAACCTTTTTTTTTTAGTTTCTACTGGGTAACACAAAAATCAATTGTAAAGTGTACTGGACAAATTGAGTGATTCACAAAACAGGAACGGCCAGAATTGATCAAGAGAAAAGGTGTAGTGTTCCACCCAAGATAATGCAAGATCTGCAACAAGTTTACAGCTTGAATGAGATATACTATACACTCATACAATCACTATACACCCACCATATTCTCCAGATCTAAAACATTCTGATTTTTATTTTATCTGTTCAACAAAAAGTTTTTAGACATTAAAATATTGATTCAAATGAGGAGGTTAAAAATCATCTGGATCAGTTTTTTTGCTCAAAAAGAACAAAAATTTTATGAGTGTATAATCTTTCTACTGCCAGAAAGACAACAAAAGGAAATTGGACCAGAATGGACAATAATTCACAAGAATATTTGTTCTTCATAAAATAAAATCATCTTTCATTCTCAAAAAAAAAATTACTTTCCAAACAACTCAATTCTTTACAAACAAAATCAAATATCATACCACTTGACTCAAATTTCAGGAATCATAAGTGATGTTGCGGTAAGTTATTTTCTAAAGTACGCAATCGTAAATAATTTAGAAAATAATTAAGTTTCAAAGTCTTAGTTTATCAATCAGATTAAGAATTTTAAAATATATATACAAAAAATTCAAAACTTTTTTTTAATAGCTATAATGAAACTGGGTAAGTAATACTGTTATATTAACAATGCATTAGTTAAATAATAATATATTATGATAAATAAGCACAATTATATTTACCTTGTTAATTGCAGTAGAGGAAGGATTACAACCATAAAAAGAAGAAAAATAAATGTCCGCAACATTTTTGAGTGGTTACGTGAAGATCTAAAAAAAAAAATTTTCAAATAAAAAAAATTAGTGATCAGAATATTTTTTTGGTTATGAAGCTTAATAATCAACATAGTAAGATCTGTAATTTTTTATAAGGTCATTCGTTCTAAACTATAGATGTAAAAAGATCAAATATTGTGCATATTTCATGCATACAAATATGTATGGTAATAATAAATTAAAAATAAAAATGATGCAATATAGAAAATTAAAGTAAAAAAATCATATACTTTTTGTCAAAAAATTAGGAAGAAAAATAAAGTAAGAAATAATTTATTTCTTTAAAATATTGAGAAATTTTCACATGAACACATTTTCTTCTTTAAGCAAACAATATACTGATTACTGACGACATTTATGATGTTTTCATATTGCCTTTTTTCAGTTAATTCTGATAAATATAAAAAGTTAAAGTTCCCCATACACATAAATTCTTTAACTGCTTCTTTGTGATTTGGTCAGTATTTTCCATCATTTCTTCTTTACTAGAAAAAAAACTTTTTCATCAATTGACGAAACATCGAGAAAAACACTTTGCCTAATCCAAGAGTGATGCACAATATTACTAACTCTTATCTTTTCAAAATGTACGTTTATGTTCCAAGTTGCATTTAGAACAAACAAAAGAGAAGCTGGTGATCCCATCTTTTTTACTCATCTTAAACTCTTTATGCTGCCATCTCCTCTCAATGTGCACAAGCACTCAAAAGTCACAATTAAAGCAAAATATTTCTTCAAAACAAAATGCACTTAATTTTTTGAGCATTAAACATGGATATCTGTTTTTGAAACAGTTTAATGTTTATAATATTAAGAGTTAATGTTAAAATAACATTTTCAAAGGGACCTCTTTATCTTTTGCTTACGGCATGCTTGCATGGTGAAGGCTGTCATTTTGCTCAACATTTTACACCAACTGTAAGCAAAAGTTGAAAATAAGATTCTACGTATGGGATAAAGAAAGATGCGCAAACAATGGATAAAGTTTGTACTGTAATAGTAAACGGATACACAAAATGCAATAAAATGATAAAATACAGCCATAAATGAGAAGCTAAAACATCACAAAAAAAATTTCCAATTCCTGCTAGAAATACTTAATTTTCTCACAAAATGAACTTTTAATAAAAATGATTGCATTTTTTATTCTCTTGAACATTAGAGTATACTTTAGAAATCCAATCATATCAAAACTCACCCAAGAAATTATTATTTTTTTTTTAAATTGAACTTCTAGAACTTGAATGAAAGCAAATGATCATAGAGCTATGCATGCGTAAATGAAATGATAGCATTTTAAATGGATGTTTAATATATTTTTGGAATTTGGAAGCGTGATTAAAGGAAAAAATTATGTTTAAAGAGTTAAGTAATAGTTGAATAAAACAAGATTTGGGGCATAATAAAAACTGATATTTCTAAGAATAGCTGTTTATCTTTGCACTGTACAATTATGGTAAATGATATGTTTATAAGTGTACAAATTTATAATATAGTGCAAATAATATTATTGTTTGTTTGCATATAATTAGGATGAAAAAAAAAAACTTAAATTGTCTTACCTTGTCCAGTGGGGCATAAATCTATCAGAGAATGACACAATTACAGGTAATAAAGAAGAAAACAACAAGAGCATCAAAGTTGAGAAGAAGTCTTTGATTACAGGAGTCTAAAAAAATATAGATTCAAATTTTAAACACAAGCAGTAAGATAATATTATCATCTTAGTTAATAAGCTAATTTCAAAATTTTAAATTTTTGACATAGCATAGACTTAGATTCTTATATTATCTTAAGAACAATTCTATCATTGACAAATAGTCATATTTGCAGACCATCATAGAATCAATCAATATGGCAAGTAGTCTGTATGTATACTATAATCTACAGTCAACATATTTGCAGTTACATGTATAAATGCATATAACTTCAAGCAATTCTAAACTTACACAATTTTTATTAATATTTACAAATAATTTTTTTAAAAAATTAATAACTGACTGTTGCAGTCATAATATTGGTGAGATGTTCAATTACAAAACATATTATCAATAAATACCAGCTATACATAATAATATACACACTTATAATTTAAACTTTCAATTGCAGACATATAAAAGCACATTTGCTTAAAATTTCACTGTCAATCATCGTTCTTTCATTGAACAATATAGAGAGGGGAATATATAGTGCAAGAAAGCTTCAATGTCTCATCTTGAATTAAGTTTGAGAACAAATGTTAAAGATTTAAGCTAACACAGTATGACCAAGGCTGGACATAGGTTTTACAGCCCCCAGGACAAGACTCTTTGGGGCCGCTAAGTAAAAACATAAAAAAAAGTATTCTATTCATAATTATTGATTATTTTTAAAAAAATCAACTTTTAAAGCAAGTATTAAAATTAGTAGGAACATCATTAAAGTATTAAAAGTTTACAGTATAGAGAAATTCAGAAAATGTAATAATACCTATTCTTTATTTTAAAAAAAATGCAACAAAACTAAATTGAAATATTACTCACTTCTCTCACTAATTTCTTAGCAGCGGGTGTGTATAAAATATCTAAATAGCTAAGGACGATAGTGGGAGTTGTCAAGAAAAAGAAAAGAATAAACAAGGCAAAATTTGTCGTAAAAGCTCGTGTATACCAAAGGCTCTTGCTGACACTTAAATTTTCCCTGTAATGAAAAAAAAGTTAAAATTACTTTCTTTTATTACGACGCAATATAAAAACTAATTGGTGACACAGATTTAGTACGATCTCAACAAACCAAAATATATCTTCAGGTGGGTAAGCAAAATCGACCGTCCAATTGTAAGGGTTCAACTGACGAGAATAACTAGATGATGAAGGGCTTACAGTGCACTGACAATGCTTTTGATAATCCTTATAAATCCTTTAAATAAAAACAAAAGTTAAAAAATACATTTTTAAGAGAATTTCATTTGTAACTACTTTTCAAGGAACATAAAATAATGGTAAACTCATACTCAGTTTTGTCCTTATTACTACTCAACTGTCAACTTCATTTTTATTAACTCCTATTTGTTGTGATCATGCAGTCTTTAAATTGATAATGCACAAATTATGCATACCAATTTTTTTACAAAAAACATTTGACTATAAGGATTAAAAACACATAATTTTCATACATTACAAACATTTCCTTCAAACTCATTATATTCATGACTCATAACAATTCTTTAACATTGAAGTATAAAAATATATGTGACAACTAAAAATGTTTTTTTTTTTTTAATTATAGTTAAAAAAATAAAATTAATGAAGTATATTATTTTAAACTCATCATCACCTCTCTGCCATCTCTTCGGTTTTTAATGTGACAAATGCCAATCCAACAGGCTTTAACAAAGAAACTGATCTTTGACGATCAACAGCTGTGGCTAAAGCATGTTCTTCCTCCGTATAGTAGTCTAGGGCATCAACCTAAAAATTACATTGTACATTAAAAGATCAAAAACATATATAAAAATGTATTAAACTTATATATAAAAAATCTTACATATTGATATCTTATAAAAAATAAACTTGGTTGTAAATAAACAAATATAAAACAAAAATAAAAAGTTATATTTACAGACAGTTTTACCACAAATTGTTAGTTTACAATACAGAAATATTCAATAAAACTTCCTAAGAAAAAAATATAGATATATATATTTAAATATCCAATTTATAGATAATAGTTTTCTGAAGAAAAAATTTAAACTGTCAAATAAAAACAAAGATTTAACTACGTTTCTAAAATTATAAATAAATAGTTTTAACTGCGTCCGAAGGTAATTTAAAATAAAAACACAAAGGTAGAAAAATACAAAACAAATTGCAAGAACAATATTGAAATGTGAATAATTAATAATAAAATGCTTTTAAAATTAAATATATAAACATAAAATTTACATTGTGTTATGTAAAATTGGAGGAAAAAAGCAAGTGGAAAATCTAAAATTCAACTTTAAAATACATTAACAATAAAGAATCAATTGTTATGTTAATGGAAAATATTTTTTTAAGAAACCCAGTTAGTTATTAACTGAAATGATTGAACTTTACTGACATTGGTCCCATTTCTAAGACTAATGTAAGTTTATAATCCTACAACAAATTCATTATTTAACATTAATTTATTAACTACATTTAAAGAAAACTAAACATCTTTAAAGATATTAAGTGTGGAGTTCAGTCATAACTTCTATTATTATTAGATCAATAGTAGACGGTTTGGTATTATGATTGCAAGCTACATAGTATGTGTCTAAAAATTATTTGATTATTCAATAAAAAATTTAGACAACAACAACATTGCAAGGAATTTCAGGAAACACTGATTGCAGTGTAACTGATTATTAATAAGGTAAGAACATTAAATTGGGAAGGTTTGACTTACTTATTTGCTAATAAATGAAAGAATAAAGAAGAAAAATAAAATAAACAAATTAGTTAGCTTAAATATAGATGGAGATATGGACATTTTCATTTAAAAAAAACTAATTTCTGTCATAAGGTTTTATTTATTTTATTTTTTTTGCTATGATTTTGAAAATATTCAATAAAAATTTTTAAAAAAAATTTGGAGGAATTTTTAATATGCAACAAAATTATCATTTCAAAATATAAGAAATGCATTAAAAATGGTGCAAGATATGAGAGTTTAAAGCATTTTTATATTGCGCATGCATTGAAAAAATTCACATTTTTCTTCCTAATTTTATAATGAATCATATTTAATACCAAATGAAAAATGTCAGATTTAAATATCTAGAAAATAAACACTATTTTGATTTTTGACAACACTAAATAAAATTAAATAGACACTAAAAATAAATAAAATTACCACTAAATAAATATCATTATGGTATTTTAGATAATGAAAAAAAATATTGTTTATTAATATTTTCCATTAATATGACAAAAATATTGAATCATACAATTTTACAAAACTGAGTTTTGGTTAAAATGAGATTGATTAAAATAAATATCCTTACTTGTTCACATCTAGAACAAACGCAAATATGACCACAATAATGAGGTCTCATCCTAGGTCTGATACCAGTCTCTTTTAAAATATTTTCACAATATATTCTTGCATGAGTAGATGTTTCTCTGAAAATACATTAATCATACGAATAAAATTACAATTTATTATTTTATTTCCAATTTTCCAGAAACTGCACAAAATATGAGAGTATGCTTACATCAGAAAATAAAGTATGGTTATATAAGGATATATAAATGATAAATATTTAAGTTCATAAAATCACAATATACTGGAAAGCATGTGGGTAAAGTATAAAAAGTCTCAACATTTATTAACCCAACATTTATTAACCCAAATCATGAAAAAATAAATAAAAAGGTAAGTGAAATCATTTTACACAAAAAAAAATCTTACATTGTTTTTATACTTATTTAGAGTTCTTTTTTTACATGTGTACATTGCTAGTTCAACAAACAGCTAAACTTAACATATAACTCACTAGCTGAATACCTATTCTACCTACTGGATGGGAAAGAAAGAAAGTAATCAATATATCCGTACTGAAAACATTACAAAATCATACACTAAACTGAAAGAAATGTACCAACACAATTGATAAAGTTAAAATAATTCCACTCTTCTCATTTTTTTAATCAATTATTATATTTTGTCTTTCCTGTAGTTTAACGTTATTTGATTAAGCAAAACATATTTTAGTAGTTAATCCCTTCAAAATAAGGATTAACCATATTCAGTATAATTTAACATGAAATTGTTGCTCCAGGCCTACTCTTAATAGAAAAAAAGTACCACAATCAAGCCATTTATTCCGGTGCTTACTCCTTTCAAAGGACCATAAAAACCTTTTTCCATAGTATTTAAATTAAAACAGCACACCATGGATGCAATTTTAATAGGTACCAAATATGCCAATATTACACATTTTACGTCAATGGGTATATTTTATACCTACTAAACAACACCAATTACCATAATACCAGAAGTGCATATTACCAAAATTAACTAAGCATTATGTGCATCTTTAAAAGTATGGCAAATTTTTATGTTTATCCAAATCAAAATAGTTCCATTGCTAAATTAATTTTGCTTTATTGTACACAGTTATTTCAATTAGTACCTATCACATACCAAAACTAATTTAGCATCATTAGCCTCAATAATAATTAGGCAATTTTTTTATGTTTCTTTTAAACAAATTAGTAGGATTTTTTCATTCATTTTATTTTTAAACACAGTTTTTTTTAATATTTATTTAAGCAATAACTATTATCAAAATTAACTAAGTACTAGCATCAAAAATGGTATGGTGATTTTGTGCCCTTCTCCTAAACAAATTCGAACCATATCTCTATTAATTTTGCCTTTTAGAACATGTCTTTTTTGTTTCAATTATTAAAAGTAATTCATTATTGGCATCAATAACAATTTAACTATTTTTTATACGATCTCTTAAAATGTTCGCTGCCACTGGCGCGCTAGCGCTTCAGAGCGCCCCCCCCTGGTATGCCGACGACGCGCAGGTGCGTCGATCGACTATGATAAGTTTAGAGATGCCAACTTGCTCCGGACAGCAAATATAGTTATAAATAATTTAAAGTGGTAGTTTATCAATTGTGATTCTTTGTTTTAATAAATTCAATTTAGTCAATTTTTATCCACCACTATTTCTAAATAATTTGTAGGCTTATATATTCATCACTTCATTACAATTATGACATGTTGAACCTTTTAAAAATTAACAAAATTATTCAAATGTTTGCAAATTTTAAATTGTAGTTTTTTAAATTATTTTGGCGTGTCCGGAGCAGTTGGCATCTCTGTAAGTTACATGCTCCGGCTTCTGAGGATGGAAATATCATTTTTAGTGGCAGCGAATGTGCTAAACGACTGATTTTCTTTAGTTCATAGCATATTTTTTTACTTCAATTAGTAACTACTACCAAAACTGATTAAACATTGGCCTGAATATTTGTAAGGCAATTTCTTAATAAATAACTTTGCACTGAGTCTCCATAAATTCTGTTTTTTTTGTTACATAGCTTATTTTTTTATTTCAATTAGTACATATTATTTAAACTAATCAAGCATAAGTGGCATCAATAATATAGTTTTATTATTCATCAAAATGAATCAATACTATTTTTCCACTTATTTTGGTTTTTAGTACCAAACTTGTTTTTTTATTTCAAATTATGTTGATTTTAAATAACTTAATTTTATAGAAACACCTTTTTAAAGCGTAACTATAAAAAATCTAGTTCCAGATAGTTATAGAAATAATAATTTTCTGATGTAATCTGCCGATGCTATTATGTTCAAGTTGATCATTGTGTTTATCTGACATGACAAATACGAAATAATTATGTATTAAAGAACATGCAATAAACCTCATTTTTAATGAGACCCATAAGCTAAAAAAATTACTGATTATGTCATCTTTACAATATAAGAAGAAAAAAAAAACAGAATCGTCAGCAGCTGAATTTTTATCAATTGCTGATTTTAAACCATTCAGAAAATTCCCCTTTTTAAATAACCGAATAATCTAATTAAAATTTTTGAAAATTTTTAGAATCAGGGATGAAATTTCTGCTTTCACCCACTGTCAAAATTTCAGGATGGTAGAATATACAGTTCTGGAATTATAAGAGAGACAGGCAGACAAACTCTTCATTTTATTATAGATAATTATAGAGACTAAAATAATAATAAACTGAAACAACAAAATAATGTAGCAAAAGAAAAAATAGACATTTATTATAGCACACTTTCTTTCATTATTTTTTTTTTTAAATTTCACTGCAATTTTTAATATTTGCATGGTTTTTTATTAAATGTCCTTTTAGGAGAGTTTTGAAAATAACTCTACTCTAAGCAAAGGTAAAACTATTATTGGATAATTGATCAATCACTTATCAAAATTAATAATAGGAAATAACAAAAAAAATTATATCAAAATTGAATGGGAGTTTTCTGACCCTTTTTCTACACACAAATATATAAATAAAAAAATTATTTTTGAATGTTGCAAAATAGAAATACAAAATCAATTATTTCAGCTTTTTCCTCAATAATTATGAAATAAAAAGTATATCATTTTTAAATACCTATATAATTGTATGGTTAAAAAAATAATTTTTCTTTTCAACAAAAAAATAATATTAGTTAATTCGATACTAAATTTTTTTATATTTTGAAAATATACACAAAGAAAATTAAAATGAAACTCTGAAAATCATTGTTTTATTTACAGACAAATTTATTACAGACATATTTTTATATTTTATACAGACAGATATTAAAGCCGAAAAACAAAAAAAAGAGAGCCGAATGTCTATGAGTAAACAAAAATTGCTTTAAAATCGCTATCCAAAGAAAAGTATGAAAAAAACCTTGTTTTATTAATATAACTGACCATTAATATAACTGATATTGAATAATGGATTAATTATTTCTTACCAAATATCTGTAAATAAATAAAAATTGGTTTAAAATTGCTCAACTCTTTTATTATACATAAAATAAATAAAAGAAAAACTTTTTCAAATCATTAATAAATTTCTTCTTGTGAAATAAAAAAATAGTAACCACTATTCTAAGTACAAAATATTAATTAAAATTGGGTCAAAATGCATGGTATTATTTAGTAACTGAATTACTCAATTATTTTAGTTTGGTGTGGAGTTTCCTTAACATAAGTAGGTATTTATAAATACATATATATATAT